CCTTGAACTCAGAGATCTGCCTGCCTCTGCCTCCACAGTGCTGGGATTAAAAGTGTGCATCACTATGCCTACCCAACCTTTTTCTACTTTTTTCTTTTTAATATTTTATTTTATTATTTTATGTGTATATGTGTATTGCCTGCATGTAAGTAAGTGCACCCATGTCATGCAATGCCTGCGGAGGACAGAAGAGGCTGTCGGATCTCCTGGAACTGGAGTCACGGACAGCTGTTAGCTGCCATGTGGGTATTGGGATTCAAACTCAAGTCTTCTGCAAGAACAGTCAGTGTTTTTAACCACTGAGCCATCTCTCCAGCCCCCCTTTTTTACTCTTTTTTTTCTGGTCTTTTTGAAGCAGGGTCTCCCTGTGGCCCCAGCTGTCCTGGAACTCACTATGTAGACCAGGCTGGCCTTGAACTCACAGAGATCTGCCTGCCTCTGCCTCCTGAGTGCTGGGCAACTCTCAGACCACTAAATTCAGACCTTTCTTGTTTTTTACTAGTTTGTCATCCTGACTCTAAAGACAGGAATTTTCCATAGCTGCTTGTTTCCCTTCTGTGTCACAGATACACTCCTTTTGTACCCACACTAAACTGGGGAGAGGACTCCTTCCCTTCTTGCCTTATTCTCTACCTGACCAGTTCCACAGATATGTCCAACTATTCTTCCCCATGATACTTTCTGTAGTAACATTCATTGCACACTGGCTTTTTTATTTGTACGGATGGATCATAACCAATGTCTGCCTTGATCAGAGCAAAGAAATACACTAAAGCTGTCTTCAGTACCAAAGAGAAAACCTGTGCTGTTTTCTCAAAAGAGAAAGAGAAGCACTGCTCACCATCTGCAGTTTCCAGAACACTCCTGCTGTACCCTCGAGGAACACCTCTCACAGAAGCCACTTGTGGACACTCGTACTGTGAGTGCTCCACGAGCCCAGTGGTGACATCAGGAGGGGCAGAGTGCAGATCTGCTTTTGAAAAAAACAAACACAAATGGAAGTGACTATTCATTCAAACAAGCATTAAGTTGTTCGAACCTGTCAATCTAAAGTTTCATTATCTGAACTCTAAGGAGAGGAGTATGGTGCCCTGCTAAGTTTTGTTTTCCTGGCTGAATAAAGGCATGAAAGACTCTATATACTCCCACATGTGTTATGCCTGTGGGGGTAGGGAAGTTCAATTCAATTCTCTATGAGAGACACAAACCTAGAACCACCAACTATAGCAGAGACAAGTTTGGAAAAGAAAACTCTCCTATTATCACAACAGCCTAATAATATTTTACTTGGAAAGTCTCTCAAGAAAACAGAAATAAATTTAAAATTAAATGTTACTAGAGCACTTTTTGTTAAATCATGAAAAAGCAACCAGTTAAAAACTTCTGCAAGGAACAAGGCACAGTGATAAACACCTGTAAGCCCAACTACTTAGGAAGATGAGGTAGGAAGTCAAGTTCAAGGTCAGCCTAAGGTCACAAGTTCAACATAACCTGTATAACATGGAGCAATCCTGTCTCAAACAAACAAAATGTCTTCAATGTTAAGAGGCCACAGTGGATTAATTCTACATTTAAGACAAATTGCATAAGATGTAAAAATACCTTGTCTCAAAAAGACCAAAAAAAAAAAAAAACCAAAAAAAAAAAACAAAACACTTACAAGTACCCCTTTCATTTTCTCAGTGTGAATTTTTTTTGTGTTTGCTTTTCATGGTACAGCACATTTATCTATTCAAAATTCTGGCTATAAGTTGTGAGAGGAATTATTATTACTATTGGACCTACTACTAGAAAAGGAATGTCACTACAACAACTATAAGAAGTGGCACTGCAACACACCCCAGTGAGTACATGTGCAACGGAGGCTGGTGATACGCGATCTTTTAATAAATGTACTGTAGCCTCACTGTGGTACTCTGAACACTCTGAATGTTTACATTCTGATAATCCATCCTTTCATTAACTTGGATACAATGCAAAACAAGAACTTTATATATAGAAAGAAGGCTGAAATTACATAGGAGCAAATCACAAACTCACTATTTAGCAGAATACACTTTGTGAAAAAAACCTAAAGCTTTAAGGATAGTTTTTACAACCCTTGAAAAAGCTTGATGTTGAGCACACTGGCATTTTAATGTATGTCTATCAGGAAGTTCTTTCAGTTCTTTATAAAGAAGCTTCCTTGAATTTCCAAATCTAACAAAAGGAATAAATAATTTTAAATGTATACAGGAAAAGAAAGGTACCATGTCAATATATACTACAAAGTAGTTTTGGGGTTTTTTGGAGGGGGTTGGTCTTTTTGAGATGGTCTCCCTGTAGCCCCAGCTGTCCTGGAACTCACTATATAGACGAGGCTGGCCTTGAACTCACAGAGATCCACCTGTCTCTGCCTCCCGGGTGCTGGAATTAAAGGCGTGTGCCACCACTCTCAGCAGAAAGTAGTTTTTAAAAATAGCCACATAAAATTAAACTTTGCTCAAAAGTGTACTACTATAACTAAAAGCACTGCTTTGGAATATAGATCTTTATATTTGTGTCGAAATGTTTAACGTATTTCATTTCCTTAATTCAATACTGGAACTAATGGTTTAAAGAAATACTTTTAAGTAATAAGTTCCACTTCAGATTTTTTACCTAATATATTCTTGTTTCCCTATTTCTTTCCTTAGTTCAAATCAAAGAGCTATCTAGAATTAGAAACTAAAACAAAGGATGATCTTGTAACCAAGACAGGGAAGGTACACACAACCTGAGTACCCCTTATACAAATTGCTTGGGACCTTTACATTTCAGAAATCAGAGTAGTTTGGATTTGGAACACTTACATACTTTACTAGTTGAGCATTCCTAATCTGAAAATCTGAAATGTTCCAATATGCTGGTCTAAATTTCAGATTTCAGATTAAGGAAGCTAAAGCTATATTTAGAAATCAAGGTAAGAGCCAATGAGATAGTTCAGTTGATAAAAACACGTGCTGTGGAGCCTGATGACCTGCGCTCAATCGCCAGAAGCCACAGTGAAAGGGGAGAACCAACCCCTACAAGTAGTCCTTTAACCTCCATATGTGCACTATGGCACATGCACGCCTGCACAGACACACAAAATAAAGGACCAATGAGATGGCTCAGTGGGTAAAGGTACTTGCCACCAAGCTGACAACCTGAATTTAATCCTGGGATCTATATGGTGGAAAGATAAGCAATTCCCACAAACTGTCCCATGACCTTTACACACACACGGCAGTACGTGTACGCACACCTACAATAATTAATAGAGGGCCAATTAGACTGCTCAATTTGACCCACAGAATCCACATAGTGGAAAGAGAGAACCGACTCCCACAAGTTGTCTTCTGACCTCTACCCATATACCATGGCATGCTCCCCCAACATAAACACAAAATAAATAAATAACTGACCTCCATGGGCATTGCACAACATGGATTCACTTATATACAAACAGGCAATACACTCATTCATATAAAATAATTAAAAAATAAAAAATAAAATATTTAAATAAATAAATAAAAATATAACTGAAATTTTATTTATTTTTACTTTATGTGCATGAGTGTTATGCCTGCATGTACGTAAGTACACATGTGTCATGCAGTGCCCAGAGAGGACTGAAGAGAGTGTTGGATCCCCTGGAACTGGAGCTATGAACATGTGGGTGCTGGAATTCGAACCTGGGTCTTCTGCAAGAGCAGCCAGTGTTCTTAACCACCATCTCCCCAGCCCCATAATTAAAATGTTTAATAATAAACAAAATGTAGAAATCAAGTTAACTATGTTCTTCAAACATTCAGCATAGGAACACTACACCTGCAGTAAGGTATTAAATAGAACCCAAGATGAGATTTTCAAAAAATTGAGAATCATAGACTGTCTATGCTAGATCAAGCAACTGTAAAAAGAAAGGCCCTCACAGTACAGCTGCAGGAGACAGGACAGATCACCCACCAACATAGGCAGCAAGCTACATGATAAATATGTATAGCTAGATCCTTTTCAGAAAATAAACTTACCTAACTCCAACACACACAACAGTAAATTCCTGTTAACACCCATAAGCATAATCACTGGAACCCTGAAGGCTGTTTTAACCAAATGCTGTGAGTATGGATAGCTTGTCATGCTAAGCATGACTGTATTTCTAACTCATCAAGAAATAACAATTAGCTTGGCATTGGCTAACAAACTTTAACACTGTGTATTCCCCTGTGTTCTTTCATCTTAGTAAGAGCTTCAAACTCCAGAAAGAGAGCTTGTTGCACTGCATTAGGATCTGAGTTTGGATCCCAGCACCCAATAAACAAACCGATGTATACATGTCTATAACCCAAGCACTGTAGGTGCTGGGGTTTGCTGCATCAGCCCAGCTCCAGGTTCAGTGAGAGTCTGTCTGAAGGAAAAACTAGCAGATAGAGCAAGAAATCCAATGTCCTTTACTGGCCTGAGCAGAAAGAAAAAGAGAGAGGTGGGGAGAGAGGGCAGCTGAACATTCAACAAACTTTTATTTCTCTCACAGGAGTTAACTGTGTATTTCTATGAAGTTAAAGCTCTGGATGGCAGGGACTGTGGGATTGTAGGTCTGTACACCTACAATCCCTACACTTGGGAGGCTGAGGCAGTGAGACTGTCAGAAGTTTAGGACCAGCTAGGATTACACAGTGAGTTCCAGACCAGTCTAGGCTACAAAGTAATATACTATCCTTAAAAAAACAACAATTAAAAACTCCAAATGTGCACCATTGAGATGGCTCAGCAGGTAAAGGTACTTTCCACTGAACCTGGGGGCCTGAGTTTGATCCCTGGGACTCACATAGCAGAAGGAGAAAACCAGCTTCCGAAGTTGTCCTCTGACTTCCAAATGTGCAACAACTGATGCACACACACACACACACACACACACACACAAATAAATAAATAAATATAAGGTATACATATATACATATATATGTACATATATACATATATACATACACATACATATATACATAGACATATATGTCTAGATGAACAGAAAAGAAAAGTAATGGCACAAAGACTGCTTTCCTGCTACAGACTCTCAAGATCCCTTGAGGAAAGGTAGGCTGCAGCTACCAGCCACACAGAAGTCACTCAACAAGCCACAGACATCCTGGAGGCAGCTTTTTCTAAAAGAGCACCTACTCCTGCTACTCTGGTGGTCGTGAAGCTGCTCTGTGGGCAAAAAGCATACTGTGGAACAGAGAGGGATATCACAAGTTTCTACCTGATTTACATCAAGGTGGAAAACAAATGTTGAGTAAATACACAGAAATTGTATTTGGACTCAAACAAAGAGTTGCACTGACACACCCCACAGAGGATGCTGCGATAAGCCACAGGCTACCAGAAGAAACATCCCATTCACCCCCAATCCAGTCAAAACACTGACACTTGGCATGAGAGGAACTCAGCACATGGGCCCAGCACCTCCTATAGTGGCTTGCAGGGACCCCTACTGCCATGCCAACTAGTCAAAACGCACTGCAGGTGCTCACCACCCTAGCTCAGCAGAAAAGAAGAGGCAATGAAGAGACATCAAGAACACTGGTTTCAGCCCTCATCTCCACTAAGCAGTGTTTGAGCTCAGGCAAGCTTCCTTCTTTATCTAGGAAAAGAGGGATGAGATAAACCTTTAATAATATGGACTCATTTTAAGGTACCAGTACAAGAATGTCTTCACGTGCAGCTGACCTTACAACTACTTCTGTTTACACACAGTTTCAACTAGTTTGAGGTGGCATTTCTTTCTAAGATTACTGTAATTCAAGGGCTGCATGACTGAGCAGACTCCTGTATTTTATGACTGGCCCTAACCAACACCTTGTTTTCAGAAAGTGACTATCTGTAAGAAGAGACCAGACCACAGCTGCATGTCCTGCCCTCACCTCCAAATACACCCACCCACAAGGACAACAGAGGTCCTTAAAGCCATATACACAGGGTCACAAGAAGGCAGTCACACCCAGGGTGGCTGTCATGACCACCTAGAGAACAAGAAAAGGTAGCAGGACACCAAGAGAACAACGTGTTACTGAGACCAAGGGCACCCCAAAGTCTAGAAGTGCCAGGTTACAGAAACAGGATGGTTTCTGTCCCTAAAAGGCACATTCCAGGTGAGAAAGAGATGGATCTTGATGGAGAAAAAATTTGTGAGGCACTTAATCTAAATCACAAGCTATCCAAATATGATCCTCATGACATCAAATGTGATTATTAAAAGCTCAAAACCAGGGGATGTCTCAGGCAGACAACACACCATATAACATCTGGCTCATGACCTCAGTCACTTGGCAACATTCCTCTGTCCAGACACTCCTGACCCTTCCCAGTTGGTGGGGGCTGTGGCAGCTGTTACTGACCTATGTGGGTGTGAGCCGCAAGGCCTGTGAGCGCAGTGGTGGCACTAGGAGCAGCAGCAGGTCTCCCTCCCAGGTGAGATGAGGTGGAGGATGCAGAGGATGAAGTGGACGAGCCCTGAATGACCCGGTCGAGCCAGGGCTCAACGCTTGTATGGCTCTGGAGCAGAGTGGTGGTGAGTCGCCCAGGTCGCCGTAAAGAGCCCTCATCTTCTGAGGCAGATGACGTGTCTGTGGTTAAAATAATGATGACAGGCATGATGTAGGGATGAGTCAAAAGAGGAAGAGGATTCCCATTCGCCTCCAGGCCTGCAACATCGCTCTATGCCATGTGGCAAGTGCACCTCAAATGTCACCTTCAGTCTAGAAGGGCACACAAGAAGCCCTACTGTGGGGAAGTGACTCATGAGTTCCAATGTCCCCAAAGAGGCTTTGGCCATGGGGTACCACACACTAGGAGTAATGACCTAAACCAAAGAGCCTGAAACTTCAATATGCTCAGTGAGTATCCAACAGTCACTGCTGTCCACCCACACAATCCAACACTACATCCACATCACATCCTGCAGATAACCTGCTCCAGTCTACACCTCACATCCTGGCCTATGCATAAGTACCACAGCACCTGGTGGCTGTGGAGGACTGCAGCCAGTCTGCATCTGTGCTCACAGGGAAATCAGGAGAAGCAACTCTAAAAAGGATTCTTTCTCCAACATAACTGGTTCAGTTCATAAAATTGTGCACTAAGGTTCTATCAAGTCAGCATTACTGCATTTTATTATGGATTTTACAGTTATTAAAACATTCTTTGCTACTGAATAATGTCTACAGCTTTATTCAACAGAAATAATAATCTGAAAACCATTTCTAAAGATTTTTTTCAATAATAAGCTTTTTCTTAAAAGCGAAAAAAAAATTACCTAAACTACTAAGTCATCTTATAAATCTTGTGCATTTTGTTTTTTACTGTTTAATAATTCCAACGTATGAAGTCAAAATGAGCATCACTACTTTCTTTACTTAGTAACAGGAAGAGCAGCTCTGTGAAGTCAAGCATTAGTACCTCAATCCAGCTTAACAGGACACTAGAGAAACCTCATCTACAGACTTTCATTTCTAATGGTAACAACACACAATAAAATACACCCAAACTCTCCATATACACATTTTCTATGGTCTCACTGGAGACAGAGCTAAGAGTGCACTAAAAACCAGGTAAAATGAGAATAATTTTTAAATTTTAATTTAAGAAGTTTGCACAATTCCACTAAGTAATTAGTTGAGATTCTTCTCTTTACTAAAAGATATAAATAGTAGTTTTTTTTAAAAAAGAAAGAGGAAGAAAGAAAGAAGAAAGAGAAAGAAAGAAAAAAGAAAGAAAGAAAGAAAGAAAGAAAGAAAGAAAGAAAGAAAGAAAGAAAGAAAGAAAGAAAGAGGGGGGAGGGAGGGAGGGAAGAAGAACCTGAAATTCATACAAAAATTCCAGGAGAACACAAACATCCATTTGGATAAGAACAATACTGAGCATGTTGGATTCTTAGGTAAGGAATACGCACATATGCAAACATTTTTAATATCCAATTTTCCCAATCTATACTACAGACCACAAGAGTGACTCCAACTCAATGGAAATAACTATTATACCAGCAGGCCTGTGACACACTCATAAAAGCCCTTCCTGACACTATTTATCAATACCTGGAGGGGTGTAGGTTTCCACGGATGAATGCACAAGGACAGAACGTCTTTTTGAAGGCATAGGCATCTTCCTTTCTTTGTACTTCGCCAAAGCTGCTTGTACGGCTTCTGTGTGAACGTCTGTACAAGAACAATAACAGTAGTAGGTGTTTTTACCAGACTGGTTACAATTTGTATTTCTGTTTGTTTACTTTGTACATAAATGGAGCAAAAGTTCTGCCTGACCATTACCCCTACATATTAATCTATGAGACAGTCTCTGAATATTACTTTGCTTGAAGACTTTTGAACTGAGTAAACAGTTCCACCGTAATAAATTAAAACAAAATAAAAAGCTGCAAGTCCTAGGGGTTCACTGGCTAGTCAGTCCAGCCAATCAACAAGCTCTAGGTTCAATAAAGACTACCTCAAAAAAAATTGAGTGGACACACTTAGAAAACAGCAGCCTAGACGGGCATGGTGGTGTACGCCTTTAATCTCAGCACTTGGGAGGCAGAAGCAAGTGAAATTCTGTGAGTTTGAGACCAGCCTGGTCTACCTAGTGAGTTCCAGGACAGCTGTGGCTACAGGGAGACCCTGTCAAAAAAGAAAAAAAAGAAAACAGCAGCCTAGACATCAGTACACCCACACATACCCCACTGAGGATGCTTCAATCTGAAGTTTATGCAACATGTGCACTAGTAAACTCACTTTTTTTTTTTTTTTTATTACATGGAGTACTCTTAAGGAAGATACTCAATCTCTGGCCTCCATGTGCGTGAAAGAACATGCACACACATACACACACACACAAACATGTACATATATTCATACACATGCATATTCCCTCCCCACAACACACATTACATGAATAGCTTAGTTGGTAGAATGCTTGCACAGCATTCATGAAGACTTGAGCTCAATTTCCAATACTACATAAACCAGGCATTGTGGTACATGACCATGGTCCCAGCCCTTGGAAGATAAAAGAAAAAGGATCAGGAATTCAAGGCCATCCTCTGCTACACAGTAAGTTCTAGGCTAGTTTGGGCAATATGAGACTGAGAACTTCTCTCAAAGGGACGGAAGGAGGGGACTAGCAAGATGGATCAGCAGGTAAAGGTGCTTGCCACCAAGCCTGACAACTGAGTTTGAGGCTGGAAACCCATAGAAGAATCAACTCCTGCAAGTCATCTTCTAACCTTCATACATTCACCATGGCACACATGTGCCCACACACAGAGCACACAAACATACATACACATACACACACACACACACACACACACACACACACACACAATTAAATCAAAAAAGCAAAGCTTTAAAAAAAAAGACAGACTGGAAAGATAGCTCAGTGGTTAAGTGCTCTGACTGCTCTGGAGGCTAGGCATGGTCCCAGCACTTGGGAGGCAGAGGCAGAGGAAGGCAGATCTCTCAGAGCTCAAGGCCAGCCTGGTCTACATAGTGAGTTCCAGGCCAGCTGGGGCTATAGGGAGACCCTGTTTCAAAAAGACCAAAAAACTTGAAAAAAAAAAAAAGCTCTGGCTACTCTTGCAGAACACCAAGGTTTGCATCCCAGCACCCACATGGTGGCAAACAACCATCCTTCACTCCAGTTTCAGGGGATCTGACACCCATCTTTGTCTTCTGCAGGCACTGGATGACAGAGGTGCACTTACATACATGCAGACATAACATCCATGCCCATAAAAAATAAATAAATAAGTAAATTTTAAAAAAAGAAAAAAAGAAAAAACAAATTTTTAAATATTTATAAAAGCACTTCCAAACAATGGGAAAGTCTAACTAAAAGGAAATCTCTAAAATTATGCTATCACACAGCTACTTCCATATACACAAATATTACTAGGCCAGACCAGAACTCCTGGTGGAGAAGTACAGAAATAGTAAATATACTGTCCTGGTAGTTGGAAGAGGAAGAGTTCTGTAGAGACTTTTGCAAGTGGGCTGGAAGATGTCTCAGTTTGTAAAGGGCATGCCTTGCAAATAATACAAGGATCAGATTGCCAGAACTCACTTTTTAGTGGGGGTCTCCCTGTAGCCCCAGCTGGCCTGGAACTCATTATGTAGACCAGGCTGGCCTGGATCTCACAGAGATTCATTTGCTTATGCCTCCCAAGGGCTGGGATAAAAGGTGTATACCACCACATCTGGCTCAGAACTCACATTAAAAAAAAAAAAACCTGGACACACTTGAAATCCCAGTGTTGGGGAGGCAGAGACAGAAGTATGTCCAGGGCTCACTGGCTGGTCAGTCTGGCTTACGTGGCAAGCTCTAAGTCAGTGAGTAACCCTGTCTGGGGGGTGGGGAGTAGATGGTGCCTAAGGAGTGGCACCTAAGGTTATCCTCCAGCCTATACACACACACACACACACACACACACACACACACACACGCACACATGCACACGCACACACATACAAATTTTTGCAAGCATCCTCTAAGTCAATCAGCACATAAACTAATTGAAACATTAAAAAAAACAAGTTAGATGAAGGTTAAATTTTCTTGAACAATATAATGATGTAAATCATCACTCAAGTGAAAAATATCTTCTTTGGCAGACATTTTGCTAAAGAAAAATTAACCAAAGTCCCCAGTAGTCAGAACATAAGTGTCAAGCCTGCCCCCACCCCTCTCCTATGCCCACACTTCCAGAGTTGTAAGCCTACCTGACCGGAAGCGCTCATCCCTTGAGTTGGTAGCCCGAGACTTCTGTGGTTTAGATGTACCTGCAGTCATCAAAGGCCCAGGAATTCTATTCTCTGTTTGCAGACATGGGTCTACTCCTGAAACACAATTTTATGCCTCATATAAGCAATTTGTTTTTCCAACTGTAAAAAGATCCACTGAAAACAGTGTGTATTTCTGTTACATGGTCATACCTGGTATGGTTCTTAAAGCAGAGAAGAGCCTCTAGTGTGGATTGAGTACCATGAACATGGGTCAGGGCAAAGTCCACATCCATGCTACATTCTTCCCATACCACTAGACCCACCCCAGGATCTAGTTCCCAATCAGCAAAGATGACCATGCCCTCAGGGTATCTATCCTTGGCAGCACAGCACTGTCAATTCACGATTGATGTATGAGTCACAGGTCTCTATGAGAGCCCTTGGGAAGCTAGTCTCTGCATTGTAATTGTTCCATAAAATCTAAACTGGCTGTGCTATTTGTTACTACTGCTATCTGCAATGTTAGCACACCCCAAGTGACAAACACCTCACCAACCATCACTAGCAGGCAACCAGTGGCCATTAGATACAACGAAAAAGCAGAGGTGGAGAGCAGAACAGCAAGAGCGACACTGCAACAGCAGCTTCAGTGAACAGAGAGTTCTGAGACCAGCAACTTGTCTTCAAATCTAGGATGGAAAGAGAGCATGTCACCTACTCTCTACACATCCTTAGCAGGGCCATGGCTCACAGTGGAGGCACCTTGACCATAGCCACCCCCAAGACACAGGACAGTGAGAAATATCAGGGTACAAATATGCAGGGTTGGGGCTGGAGAGATGGCTCAGCGGTTAAGAACACTGGTTGTTCTTGCAGAAGACCTGGATTCAAATCCCAGCACCCACAGGGCAGCTAACAACTGTCCGTAACTCCAATCCCAGGGGATCCGACAGCCTCTTCTGACCTCCATGGGCATTGCACAACACGGGGGCACTTATCTATGTGCAGGCAATACATGCATACACATAAAATAAATTAAAAACAGAACTTTTAGCTGGGATTCAATAAAAATAATGAGCTTAATGTTAGCCTTTGTTTGAAAATGCCTCATAAAAACTAGCCAGCAGATGCCAATCCCACTGGCTCTTCCAGTTTTGACCTCACCACAAAAATACACAGTCCACTTCTGACTTAAACCTGGGTCAGTGGCCACTCTGACAGGCATAGAGTGAAGGAAGTGCTGGTAACACAAAGCAACATAATTCCCTCTACCTAGATCAGCAACACATGTGAAGTCCAGTGTGCTGAGCCCCATGTCAAAAATGTCTTGTGGGGTTGGGGATTTAGCTCAGTGGCAGAGCGCTTGCCTAGCAAGTACGAGGCCCTGGATTCGGTCCTCAGCTCCGAAAAAAAAAAAGAAATGTCATGTGAGAAAACGGGACAGGCAGGTATGGAAACCTCCCAGCCCAAAAGCCTATGACAGGACCTCACAGGTCACCTACCCAGGCTCAAAAACCACTCAGCTCTGGTTGTGTAGACAGGGAAGTGATACTCTCTAAGCTGGCCCAAACTTCAGGTCTATATGTGCAATAGATCAATGGTGCTGTCTTGGGTGGCCTGTTATGTAGCACTGGAGAATGGGAAAAGCTCTTGCAGAATCTATACTTAGGTCTTCAAATTCTGAGCACATATGCATATATGTACAGATATATAGGTATATGACAATGCTGAACCATGCCTTGTTGGCTAGAACTACTACAAAGTCCCAATGGAAAATATATCAGCTTAGATATTAAGGATTATCAAGTAGTATGTTACACAATGATGTGTATTACTTCCCAAAACATGGCTGCTTTTATCCTTTAGATAGATTTATTTACTCAGCAAAGATAGCAAAATCTGATCTGAAACTACTAGATAAAAAAGGCAATTTTTGTTTTCAGTTTTTAAAAATTATGTGTATATATGTATCTGTGTGTGGTATGTGCACATGAGTGCAGTGTCAATGGAGGCCAAAGAGGGTTTGGAGCTCCTGGAGCTGGAGTTCCAGGTGGGATGTTGGTCCTAGAAACTGAACTCAGGTCTTCTGCAACAGCAGTACATGCTTTAATTGCTGAGCCATCTCTCTTCAGCTCTAAAAAGATATATATTTGGGGGGGGGTCTTTTTGAGACAGGGTCTCCCTGTAGCCCCAGCTGTCCTTGAACTCACTATATATACCAGGCTGGCCTTGAACTCACAGGGATCCGCCTGCCTCTGCCTCCTGAGTGCTGGGATTAAAGATACATTTTTAATTTTAGAAGGTATCAAAAGATAACTTTCCAAAAAGGTTACAGTGTTCACACTCCTACAAGCAATGTATGTAAGTGCTACATCCTCACACATCTGTCAGTACCACATTTATAAGAAGTTTGAGGGTTCTGCCAACCTGGTTAGAGAAGCCAGTTCACTTTAAATTGAATTTCCATATCTACTAGTGAGGTTGAGAATGACTTAAGTGTTATTACCCATCTATGTTTCCTCTTCTTTCAATTTCTTTCTTCCACTTAGGAAATTTAGATGCTTTTTCATGTTTGAGTATTGGTTATTCCTTCCAATAAATTGCATGGTCCTAATAAAGGTGCTGTGCCTTTCTTGTTAAATGCATTAATAAGCATTTGACAATGTATTTTCATTTGGAATGAGATCTTTTTCATATTTCAAACAGAACTATTCAAAGAGAAAACCATTGATTCTCACATATTTCTTTGTTATAACAGCTGTAAAACCAAAAACTTATCAATTCTAATAGCTAAATAAGCAGCTTTCCGAGACACAAAATAATGCCCTCCACATAAAGATAACTGTCTTTTATGTCTACTATTTACCTCGTTTTGCTTCCCTGACTCATAATATCGAGTGTAATGATCAAAACTATACAGAATGAGGACACAGTCTGCAACCCTTTTACCTTGGCTAGGAATCGAAATGGCTAAGGTATGTGATCATCCAGTCTGATGGTTGTTGGTGATTTTTGGCAAATAGACTTTAAGATGTCTTAACAGTTTTATTTTCTTTCAATTCCAATTTTATTGTTTTTGTTTTGAATGAAAAAATATTAGTGTACAAACAGCATCTTCTACATTCTTTTATCAATTTATAAATATACCAATACAGGCAGTATAACATGTGCACAGATTATGTGCATGCGTGCGTGCGTGTGTGTATGTGTGTGTGTCTTTGTGTGTGTGTGTGTTGGCCACTGCGTGATTTAAGAAATAAAGCATGGGGGGCTAGAGAGATGGCTCAGTGGTTAAGAACACTGGCTGTTCTTGCAGAAGACCCAGGTTCAAATTCCAGCACCTATATGGCAATTAACAACTGTCCATAATTCCAGTTCCAGGGGATCCAACAGCCTCTTCTTTCCTCTAAGAGCATTGCATGACACGGGTGCACTTACCTACATGCAGGCAGTACACATATACACATAAAAGAAAAATAATAAATAAAATATTTTTTTAAAAAAATAAATAAAGCATGGGGGCTGAAGAGATGGCTCAGCAGTTAAGTACACTTGCTGTTCTTGCAGAAGACCCAAGTTTGGTATCCAGCACCCACATGGTGGCTCACAACTGTCTATAAGTTCAATTCCAGAGGATCCAACACTCTCTTCTGACCTCCATAGGTACCAGGCACACACATGTTGCATATACATACATGCAGGCAAACACTCAAACACATAAAAATAAATAAATATAGGGCTGTGGGCATGGTGGCGCATGCCTTTAATCCCAGCACTTGGGAGGCAGAGGCAGGTGGACCTCTGTGAGTTCAAGGCCAGCCTGGTCTACATAGTGAGTTCCAGGACAGCTGGGGCTACAGGGAGGCCCTGTCTCAAAAAGACAAATTATAAATAAATAAATAAATAAATAAATAAATAAATATTCAAGAGAAGGAAAAGAAAGAGGAACTAAAGAATAAAGTATGGGCCAAAGAGATGGCTCAATGGCTCAATGGGTAAAAGTGCTTTCAGTGTAAACCTGATAACTTGAGTTTCGATCCTTGGAATCCAAGTAGAAAAGCTGATGTGGTGGCACACATCTGTAATCCCAGCACTCCTATGGCAAGATGGGATGCAAAGACAGGAGACTCACCTAGACTCTTGTTGGCCAGCTAGACTGGAGTACACAGCAGAGCACAAACAAGACCTTGTCTCAACAAGGTAGAAAGAGAAAACTAACTCCTGAAAGGTTTCCTCTGAGCAGAATATGTACACCATTCATGAGTGCATGTGCATATGCATGCGCATGGAGCACACACACACACACACACACACACACACACACGTGCGCGCGCGCACACACACACATTTTCCATTTTAAAAATGAAAAAGAAATTAACCATTTAGATGACAGAAGAGCACACTGTCCAATCTTACATCTACCAGGAAATGTACTTAATTCTGGAAATCTACTTCCTTTTCTCTCTTTACCACCTTTGTAAGGGTCTCTGGTATGATTTTTTAAAAATTTCATGTTGGCCACATTCCTTTGTGACATCTTTGTTGGAGTTCTTGGTAGTTTAGGGTCACAATTAACATTCCTGTGTACCTAATGGAGAACTGCAGCACCATGTGACCCAGCTGCATCCATGCTGGACCCTCTCCAATATGGATGGCAGGCTATTTTTAAGCTGCTTTTCTGTGATTATCAGAGGTCAGACTTTTTTTTTTTTAACTGTTTGACTATTTTGTCCTATAAAGTATCTATTTAAGCCTTCACCCATTTTTCTCATGTTAGGAAACTCAAGCTCTTGGTAGCACAAGCCAGAGTCCTAGAGCTCAGCTGTGATACATGCCTCATGCTACCACATGGCCATGCAGATAGAGACAGCACACCCCCTGCTGCAGAAAAAGCCACCAGCAATGCTGTCATTTGTGTTATAGCCATCTTCCCACAGAATGTAGCTTGACTTTTCAACTTCTTGCTGGTGTTTTTTGATAAAAAAGAAACTACTAATTTTAATGTATCACAATTTGTCAGTCTTTTCCTTTACGGTTGCTGTTGGGGTATGCTGTGCCTTAAATCCTATCTCGGGGCTGGCGAGATGGCTCAGCAGTTGAGAGCACTGACTGCTCTTACAGAGGACCCAGGTTCAATTCCCAGCACTCACATGGAGGCTAAGAACCTCCTTAACTCCAGTTCCTGCAGAATACAACTCCCTCTTCTGGCCTCTGTAGCACTGCACAACATGGGTGCAATTACACATATGCAGGCAATATACTCATACACATAAAATAAAAATAACTAATAAAATATTTTAAAAAAGAAATCCTATCTCAAGATGGCAACAATTTCCTCTGAGATCTTCCAAACGCTCTATAGTTTCTGCCTCTTATATTTAGGACTAACACACCTGCAGCTAACTTTGGTGTCAGTTTTATGTATTCTACAAACATACAGGGAACTATGTCAGGCCCTCAGGCAAGATACATATAGGATCTCTCACAAGTCCACACATATGCATGTGTCCATCTGGGCGGGCTTTTCTGTCCCACTAGTCTAGTTGCCTTTGCAAACTACTCTATCTCAATGATGACAGCCTTATAATAACTCTTAAAAGTTGCAAGGCAAATCTTCCCATTTCATTTCTGATCCCTAGACCTTTTATATTTAGGTATAAATTTTGGAATTGAGTTGTAAAGTTCCACACAAAGAACTCAAAAACAAAACATAAAAATTCTCAAAAGAATGAATGTGCTGAATCTACAAATCAATTAATAAGGAAAAAATTGAAAACTCTGTATGTCATTGCCTTGTAAAGAAGTGTGTCAGGCTGTTTTATGAGCATGAAAATAAGTACTGTTTGGCAATGAGATCAGTACCAAGCCAAAGCTATAAATTATAATCTATGTCCTTGGATTTTATGACCTAATAGCAGACATACTATTCAGTCCTTAATAGAAAATATATACCAATGTTTAAAACTCAAAGTAAATTATTTATTATTACTTATTTGCACTGTTGGTGATTGTACCCAGGGACTATTGTATGCTGGGCAAATGCTCTACCACTAAGCAACATCCGTAGCCTATCAAAATCAATTTTATATTAAGTTTTATAAGGCAGCATAATTGTTACTAAAACAACAGAAGGTGCTAGCCTTACCTTGCAAGAGAGGAATATAACGCGCCAGCAGCTTTGCTCTTTTCTTTTCATATCCTTTTTGAGTGATATCACCTAAACCAACAATGGAAAAAGATAATTACATTTCTTCTAAAATTTGCAAAATTTGTGTGTATGCATACGTGTATGTGAGTGTGCATGCATACGTGTATGTGAGTGTGCATGCATACGTGTGCACATGGAGGCCAGATGCCAACCTTAGATGGTTTTCCTCAGGCACCATTCACCTTGCTTTTTGAAATGGGGTCTCTCACTGGCCTGGAAGTAACCAAGTAGGCTAGTCTAGCTGGCCAATGAGCCCCAGGTTCTGTTTCTCTCTGCCTCCCCAGCACTGAGATTATAAGCATGCACCATCACATCTGCCTTTTTGGGGGGGTCTTTTTGAGACAGGGTCTCCCTGTAGCTCCAGCTGCCTGGAACTCACTCTGTAGACCAGGCTGGCCTCGAACTCACAGAGGCTCTGCCTGCCTCTGCCTCCTGAGTGCTGGGATTAAAGGCGTGCACCACCATGCCCGGCCACATCTGCCTTTTTAATATGGGTTCTAGGGATCAAAATCAGCAACTCATGCTTACGAAGCAAGCATTTTATCAACTAAGTTATCCCTCTAATTCAGTTCTAAGATTTTTAATAAAAAATTACAAACTTGGGCTGGGGAGATGACTCAGTGGATAAAGTGCTTGCCAAGCAAGTGGGAGGACCTGAATTTGGATCCCAAGGACCCACACAAAGATGAACGCAGTAGTGTACAGCTGTACTCCTAGCACCCCTGGGATGAAATGGGAGGCACAGCAAGGAAAACCCCTAGAAGCCCATAGGCTAGCTAGCCTGGTGTATGCAGCAGCAAACAATAATAGACCCTATCTTAAACAAGAAAGGTGAGACCTGACACCTGAGGTTGTATTCTGACCTCTGCATATGCACTGTGTTCACACACACACACACACACACACACACACACACACACAAAGATTTTTTTTATAAATTATACTATAAAAACTAGACATTAATGCCTTTCAAGTGGGTTACTGGATAAGTAAGCTGGGATAGACCCATACCATGGAAGACCACTCAGCAGTAAGAAGGGTGGACTACTAATACACATGGCAGCTTACGCAAATCTCATGTGCATGCTGCTGAGTGAAAAAATGCCAGACTCACCAGGCGTGGTGGTGCACGCCTTTAATCCCAGCACTTGGGAGGCAGAGGCAGGAGGATCTCTGTGAGTTCAAGGCCAGCCTGGTCTACATAGTGAGTTCCAGGACAGCTGGGGCTACAGGGAGACCCTGCCTCAAAAATAAGACAAAAAAAAGCCAGACTCATGGGCTATCCACTAAATTATTCTATTTAATAACATTCTGAAGATGACAAAACCACAGAACCAAGACAGACAGTGGATGCTAGCAAATAGTGAGGGAACTGTCAAATCTCAGAGAGAAGGAATCTGAGATGGTGGAACACTTCTATGGCTTGACTCTGACCATACCTGCACACCAGGAAATAGAATCTTACTCTATGTAAATAATACTTCAATTTTTTATATTTTATCAATTCCTTGAGAATTTAATAGTGTTATTTTGATCATAGTCAACCCCTTCCCCTAACTCCCAGGTCCACCCCCATTTCCTTGCCCACCCAACTTTGTGTCCTCATTTTTCTTTATAAACCCATCAAGTCCAATTTGTGCTGTTCATACACTCTAGGGGGGTGTGGCCATCCACTGCAGCATGGTCAATCTACCAGGGATCACACTCTTTTTAATATTTTATTTATTTTTTTAAATTTTATGTGTATGAGTGCGTTGCCTGCATGTGAGTGCACCCGTGTTGTGCAACGCCACGGAGGTCAGAAGAGGGTTTCAGAGTCCCCTGGAACTGGAGTTAAGGATGGTTCATAGCCACCATGTGGGTGCTGGGAGTCGAACCCGGGTCCTCTGCAAGAGCCGTCAGCTCTTAACCACTGCACCATCTCTCCAGCCCCAGGACCACATTCTTAAAACTAACTCTCTCTCTCTCAGCAGCTATCAACTGCCAATAGCTCCTCAGCTAGGGTTGGGGCTTTGTGCTCACCTCTCCCCTCCATGCTGGGATTTTGTCTGATTTGAACTTGCACAGGGCTTGTGCACAGTCATAACCACTATGAGTTCATATGTGCAATTTCCCTTTCTGTTCAGAAAATACTATTTTGTTGTAGTCATCCACCACTTCTGGCTCTTACAATCTTTTCAACCCCTCTTCCTTGATGATCCCTGAGCTTTGGGAGGAGGGAGGTGTGATACAGATGTTCAATTTAGGGCTGAGCACTCTATAATCTTATTCTCTACACCTTGACCAGTTGTGGGTCTCTGTGCTAACTGCCATCTACTACAAAAAGAAGCTTCTCTGATGAGGTTTGAGAGATGCATTAATCTATGGGTATAACTCTGTCATTAGGAGTTGATTTAATACTATGTCCATTTAGCAGAAAAACAGGAGAAGGTTCTCCCCTAGGGCCTATGACCTATCTAGTCACAGGTTCTTAGTCCCAACAACAGTGTCAGGTATAGGTTTCATCTTGTGACATGGGCCTGAAATCCAGTCAAAAAGTAGCTGGTTACTCCTTGGACATTCATGCCACTACTGTACCAGTGGACACTATCTTGCCAGGCCAGCCATTATTGTGGCTTACAGGATTCATAGCTGGATAAAACTGATAACTACATCTCTCCTCTGGTAGTGTGCATAGCATATTCCAACAGCCACTATAGAACTCAGTATGGAAGTTCCTTAAAAAGCTAGAAATCGATCTACCACATGATCCAACTATAACACTCGTAGGCACATATTCAGAGGATTTTATATCTTTTTTGGGGGGTGAGGAGTTTGAGACAGGGTCTCCCTGTACCTGGCCTCAAACTCACTATGTAGACCAGGTGGGCCTCAATCTCACAGAGACCTCCTCTGCTGGGATTAAAGGCATGTGACACCACATCTGGTCCCTAAAACTCTATATCGTACTACTGAGATATTTGTTCATATATGCTCATTACTACTTTATTCATAATTCATCCAACAACAGGTTAATGGATAATGAGAATGTGATACATTTACATAATGGAATATCCAACTGTAAAGAAAAATTACATTATAAAATTTTCAGGTAAATGGATGGAAATGGAAACAATCATTCTGTGTGAGGTAACCCTGGCAGAGAAAGACAAATGTTTTCTCTCATTTGTGGATGTTAGTCTTGAGTCTTAAGAAATAAGTATTTCATTTAGAATACCCATAGAGAGGTCAAGAAACTAGTAAGGGACCATGGGGATTTGGGAAGGGGGATCTTTCAAGGAAGGAGAGATAGAACACAGTGATATAATAGGTGTAAAAGAAATAATGGAACAAAGAAGGCTTAAATGGGGTAGGGGATGGGAGGTGAGGTAGAGGGAGGAATACAGGGAGGGTTAGCTACCACTAAAGACATGTTGGAAAAGTGATATGGAAACCTATCACCGTAGAAGCTTCATATATATATATATATATATTAGTTTAAACTGAGTTACTGTATAATGAAGCAACAATGCCCCTGCTAGGCTAATAAATAACAAAGTACAGTGCCAGGAATGGGTTACTTCTTTTGGAGTTGTTGGCCAGTGATGTTTCATAACCGCCGCCCCCCAAACATTACAGGTTATTGTCCATGCTCTTGGTTATCCTCCAGAACTTGGGTAAGACTCTATTGCTGAAGATACCACAAACTTGAGTCATAGTACATAGAGAAATCAAGCAGGCAATAATCTGGAAACTTCATTCCTACTGGCTAGCTTTAATACTTTAATTCTAATGGTGATCAACATCCCCTGGGAGCTTGTCAAAAATGCAGACTCAGGCTGGCGATATTGCTAAGTGGTTAAGAGAGCTTCCTGCTCTTCCAGAGGACCCGAGTTTAGTTTCTAGCACCCATTTTAGGAGGCTCACAACCGCCTATAACTCCAGCTCCACAGGATCCAACCCTTTTCTGGCCTCCACAGGCACTCACATACATGTGGCACATATTCACACAGACACACATACATATTTTTTTTAATTTTTATTAAAATCTTTTTTTTGAAAAAAAGTGTACTTGGAAGTCACACCTCAAACCAGCAGAATCCACATCTGTGTTTCCCAAAACACTTAATGATGTCTGTACAGGTTCAAGTTTCTGAAGCAATGGTAAAAGGGACACACAGGCTCAGCTTCTCATAGCCACAGTATGTCCCTGGATAAGGACTCAGGAAAAGGCCTGCTGTCCTCATAAATTATCATAAAGACAGTGAAAAACAAATTAATCCACTTGGCAATGAGACAGGAAATGCAATTCACAGTAGATCTCGGTCTTCGTGCACTACCTGGTTCCTAGGAAAAACTGGGAGTGCCAACAGAACTTTAATGAAGATTTAAAACAGAAATGTAATTACAACAATTTTCACTACTAGTGTTGATGGTGGATTTTAATGGCAACTTGCCACAAATTGGAACCACCTGTGTAGAGAGCGTCATTTGCAGAACTGTCTTAATTGCCTTAATTGATGTGGGACAATCCACACCAAATGTGGGTGGCACATTCTGGTAGTAGCCCAAATAAAAGGGAGCATGGCAGAAGGAAGATTATTCACTCTTTGCTCATTTGGCCTTCCCTCTCACCTCCAAGTTAACTTATCCTGTTACTGCTGCTGATTCCTTTGTTAATATCAGAATCACCATTTCCAGGCTGCTATGGATGACTAAGGACTGGTGTGGCTTTCCAAGAACCCTCCAGGTTTCTGGAACCAGACTGGTAATGCCGAGGCATCCAGCCCCATGGACTGAGCAGCTACAGGGTTCTTGGACTCTCTAGTTTGAGACTGTCACTGTGGGACTACAGCCGCTGAGGCACCCAGCCTTAAGGACCGAGCAACTACCAGGTTCTCAGCCTCTCAGGTGTGATTCAGCTACTGTTTCTCTGTCAAAGCTGATTTAATGAATTCTTTTAATAATGTGGATGTTCATTCTATCAGTTCTGTTCCTCTAGAGAATCCTGACTAATATAGCTAGCTTTT